CCATGTTTTAAGTAAAAAACAAAGGTATTGAAAGTAAATCCTAAAATCTATTGGATTCAGGGAAAAAAGGAGTAGTGAAGTGTGCAAAAAAAGAGAATTTATTGGTAATAGTCTTTATTTGTTCCATAATTCAGATAAGCATGAGTTGGCCACCTTTGTTCTGGCAAAATAAGGACAGAGAGCAGAGTAGGGGGCAGGACTAAATGATGCGTGCTATCCGCACTGTGCCAAATAGTTCTTCGCTGGCATCTGGACTGGATGACGATGTATTCCTTTCATTGGCGCCAATGTGGGATTTCCTGCTTTCACATTAGAGTCCTGCCTTCACATCAGAAGCCCCCTTCACACCAGAAGTTCCTCCCTTTTAAATAAGAAGCCCCCTCTTCCACACACCTTTTATATCCAAAGTCTCCCCCTTTCACATCAGAAGTCTCCCCTTTCACATCAGAGCCCCCCCCCCACCCCTTACACACACACACCTTTTACATTCAAAGTCTCCCCCTTTCACATCTGAAGTCTCCCCTTTCACATCAGAGCCCCCCTTTTTTATCAGAGTTACCCTCTTTCGCATCGGAGCCCCCCTTCACATCAAAGAGAAAAAGAGAGGAAGGGTGAGAAAGAGAGATAGATGGGTAAGGGAGGAAGAAAGAGAGTGGCACAGAAAGAAAAAATTAAAGTAGAATGAGAAAAAGAACAGGTAAGGAAAAAGAGAAAGAGAGTGAGCACACTGAAAGTACACAATATGACAAAAAAACTGTTTTAGGTCCAGCTTTGAGACTGTTTCACATTATATTCTTATTTAGAACTTCTCCACAGCATCCTTTTTTTTTTAAAATGTGGCTTTGCTGTGCGTGGCACTGCCCATTTGCAGAGTCATCCATTCACAGATTCATTCAACTGCCATCACAACAGAGATACTCAATGTTCTTGATGAAGCACAAGTGTGGTGATGTCACTGTACTCAATAACCTAATGCAGCCCCATAACTAAAGGTCCGTATCACAGTACAGACCAGTGGCTGGGGAAAGCAAAAGCCATAAAAGACTCCAGAAAATAATCTGTTATAATTATGAAGGAATGCAAAGAACAGAACATTATGTTGTTGGCGCTCTTTATGTAGAACAAGCTGAAGCAGTTTTACAACATATATTTGCAATATTTTTATAAAACAAATATTCCCCTTCCCTTGTGACCTTTCATTAATACTGTAGTAGCTGGCCCCAACCTGTGGCCAAGTTATTTCCCACAGACCTGCCTCTGCAAAGAGAAGTGCCTAGACAGCCTTCCTCCAGCATTAACCCTGTGCTGCCTGCCACTGTGAGAGAGGGATTACTTGGCTGGCCGTCTTTGGTCTGACCTGGAGGGACAGCACCTTCTCCTCGGCCAGGTTCAATGCTGCACCAGTAAAAGGGGTGGCCCGGGGATGTTATAGGACAGAAAGGAAGGAGGAGCAGCTGTATCAGCAAGTAAGTTCTTCCATTCAGGAATGGTGAATGTCAACTAGCTCCGATTAGGCACTGCACATCAATGTATGAAATAAGCCTCCTAGCTCGGAAGGACACAACAGACCCGCATAAATATACAAGACAAACTGCGCCATTTAATTAATCAGTATGGGACATAACATTACAGTTTAGAATCTGGGACAATCCTATATTATACTGTATAGGTGGCAAGCCTATAAACAAAACAAATGTTGCTGCTCTTGGGCCTGTATGATTGGCCTGGGCCTGAGTGACTACCCTCAATATGGCACATCAGGGGATGTCTGTAGTGCAATCCCTGAAGCTTGTTGGACAGACAGTGAGTATAGTTCACATCAGAAAAAAACATACATAGGATACATAGACCTTATATATTAGTGCAAAAAGATTAAAAGAAAGAAAATTAGATTTTAATGATACCCCCTAGATTGAATGTACATAGAACTCTCAATTGAAGTTGAGCCATGGGACAAGCAAATACTGTCTAAATACAAGGCATATGCATTCTTACTTGAATCTTGGTGTGCTCTGTGTATTTTTACCACACTTGTATAGTAATCCAGTGTAAAAATGTTCCTTCAGGAGCTTCCTATAATCTAGACCAGTCACTCCTCTTCTCCCCTAATACAGAGTGGCAGGTCTTGTATCCACCCCCTACTGTAGTTTTCTGCAGGCAGCTTGCAGTGGGTAGGCCTAATGGGTCTCTCCTACAGCTCTGCTCTATGCACCGGCTATGGGCAGCACACTGATGATGTCACTATTATGTTTACAAGGTAATATGTAGGTTTTCAAATCCATTTGGTGCATACAAAGTGGATTGATATCCTTTGTGGCTATTAGAAATATATATTTTAATGAAAGATTTTGTGGCCAGAGTTCAACTTGAAGTGTCCTGGTTAATGCTTTAAAATTTATTTAAAAATCCACAAGGATGAAATGATTAGATTATTTTATATGTTTCTTGTAATTTTACATTATGGGGGTTTATTCACAAAGCTGCCAAAGGCAGCCAAGTGAATAATCGAGCTGTAGTGAAGTGAGTCGAACAACGTTTGTCTATTCACTACGGCTCATTACGGCTGATTTCAGCTGTACATCAGCTCAAATCAGCCGTATATCAGCTGCCTTTGGCTGCACTTCGGTCAGCCAAACATGCTCTGCGTGCTCGGCTGAGCCGAAGTGCAGAAGGACTTTGACTCAGCTGATCCAACATCTGGATCAACTGAGCCAAAGCTCCGGCAGCTCAATCGCTGCCATTCGCCCCTGTTCACATAGGAGCCAAACGGCAGTGATTGAATAGCCAAATGCTGCCGAGCGGCATTCGACTAGGCTATTCTGCCTGGTACCTCCGTGGTACCAAGCAAAATAGCAAATCAATGAAAAGAGTGGGGGGAAAAAAAGTCGAAAAAATATTTTTTGAAATGTAAATAAATATAAAAATTTAAAAAAAAAGGTTTTTTAAAAAGAAAAAAAAGCAGTGACAGCTAGCTCCGCCCAAGTGTTTTCTATTGGCTGGCACCTGCTAGAGTATTCTAGCAGGTCCCAGGCCAATTAATAACAACTGGGCGGAGGCGGCCATGATTTCACGGCTGGCTCCACTCAGTTGTTGTTTAATGACAGTTCAGTGTCCCCAGGTCATTTGAGGATGCTGATCTGTCATTACAACTAGGCGGAGCCAGCCGTGAGATCATGGCCCCACTTCAGCTGTCACTTTGGCTCGGGTGAGAGCTCAGGTGGCCGAAGAGAGCCAAAGGATCAGCCGAAGCTACGGCTGGATCCTTTGGCTCCTCTGTGAATAGCCCCCTATGTATTATATTTCAAGAATGTATTGCTGTTGCATATATTACAATATTTATACTCTGCACCAGTGATGCTCAACTCTGTACCTCAAAGTACCCTAACAGCTTTTCAGGTCTCTTGATAGACTTTCACGTTATATAATTAGTGATTTATTAAGTGCACTCCTACCGATAGTAAAACAAATGCATGCATTATTAGTGAGCCTTGAGAACCAGAGTTCATCACCAATGCTCACTACTTCTTACCAAATGGTTAATATCAGCTAAAAGTGACTTTAGACATGCCTAATGCCAAAGACTCCATAAGCTTGTATGAACAGCTCACAGAATAGGGAGGAGTGGGCAGACAGCCCTAGGCAATGCCTATTCTTGGAGATACAACAGCGATCAGTCAAAATATTTAAAGCTAGTTGATCAGTCATTACTGAGCAGTTAGCTGAGTATATTCACTGCATGTACAGAAGATCTAGATCCAAAAGAGCTGGATTGGACAAATCTACAGTATGTATACAGTATATCAGATCTATGCTGAGTTTAAATTGCCTAATTAGGCTGGACTTCTCTATTTAATCATTATATGTAGTATGATGTACAGCCTATAAACTGCTGACAAAGGGCAACATGCACAAAATGGTCTGCGGAGCTAAAATAAATATGGGGTCCATTCCTCTAACTGTAATTGATTTCTTGTTCTTTATTTTGCTTTGTAGGTGAGCATGGGTTTTTGTGGATTTCTCCAGCAAATGTCTCACACTGGTAATTATATATCCAACATCTGTTTTCTCAAAGAATAAAAAAAGCTATCATCATCTCATTGTTACACTTGAACGACCTCTAGCCCCATTTCTAAGCACAGGAGCACATGTGCTCCCTTTTACTGTGCATGACCAATATATAGTATGATAATGCTACCATTTTATGACTTTATGCACGAGGACCTTGGAGAGAAAATATGCTAGACTACAATTCAAGAGGGGGGGTCACACTTTATAAAGCAATGCAATTTCTGTGAAACTACATCGTAATCATTATTATTATTATTACTATACAGCATTTATATCGCTCCAACAGTTTGCGCTGTGCCTTACAATATAAGAAAGACATTACAGTTACAATACAATGCAAAACAAGAGGAAGCCCCTGCCCGTGGGAGCTTACAATCCAAAAGTAATCATGGCAGGGATCACTGAACTCCTTTGAGAAAGCTGACAGTTCCTCATCCATTTCCCGAAAGTCAGTGCTGGCACAGTTGAGCGCTTTGCATATCAGTACCTTTCCAGGTGGAAATGTGCAGTTATGGAAAGCGCTGATACACTAATACCCTCACATCAACCAAAACAGGGTCCACAATCCAGCTTCAAATAGATATTGGACTTTATATCATCATATGTGTTGGTCTGGACTAGGGGTGTCACAAGGCGGAGTGTCAACTGGAGCGGGTACCGGATGACACCCACGCACGTGTGACGTCATCGCGCGCGTGTGATGACGTCACGTCTTGGCGATGAGAGAGGAGGGGATGTTCACCCAGCGGGATAAGGTATGCTGCCGGGTCCCCTCCTCTCTCAAACAACTGTCGGGCTCTCGATCCAATGGTGTCACCCGGGTGCAGGCCACACGGCCCTAGTGACGCCACTGGTCTGGACTAGTACAGATCTACGGGTAATGTTGGTTCTAAGCTGCCTGCAAAAGTTGGTGGATTATAATAGAAAGTTCTTCAGGCTTTGTTTAAAAATTCTTGTCTGTCTTTCAGCTGAATCCATATGCCAGCTTGTGGACGAAGAATTAGTTCCCCAACTAGCCCCAGGTCTTCACGTTTCTGACTTGCAATAATCCAGAAATGGCGCAATAAGGTTGATAAAATGACTTTCTCTTCCATCAATGCAAAACGTTGGCCTACAAAATGAATCGGAAAGCAATCATAAAATATTGCCTAAAACAACACATTCATTACTACAATTATACATTAAAGTAGAATTAAGCACTCGGGTTTTTGCATATATCTACTGCTAGCCAGCAGTAGATATATGCAAACACATTTTTTTTTTAAATAAAAAAAATAACCAAATAGGTAATTACTTACCAGTGTCTCTGCCGCTCGCTCCCGTTTGAAGAGCTAAGGATTCTCAAGTGGCCATGAAGGATCAGGGGGCGGCCGCATACACCGTAGACATCTTCGCCCGGGAGAAGAGGAGAGACACCGTGTAAGTCAATGCATGCAGCCGGCAGCATGCACATGGACAGACACAGTGGGACACAGAAGACACAGCAGTCAACGCTGGATCAGAGACCAGCACCAGCGCTGGAGGGACTCCTTAAAACTACTGGAACGCAGATAATGGGGATCAAGAGGCATCATTTAAGGTAAGTTCTTATAGCAGCAGGGGGGGGATTGTGACTTTAATGTCACTTTAAACTGTCATAAACACATACACATACATAAAACTGTCTACCACATTTTAATTTGTGTATTATTTTGTTGTTTTTAAAATGCCTCTTATTAAACTAGAGCAGAATGAGGCGCATCATTTACATTCTACTTGCAATATATTGCAAGTAGACGGGTAATTCACTTGAATGACCCAATAATCACCTTATTCACGTTTTTTCTGTTTAAGTAAAGGTGAAGGCTTTTTCTTCCTCACATGTATGAGGCACTCCAGCTTTTAAAAAACATTTTTTAAGTTTGTGCAATTAATATTTTTTGCCTTTCACCCCATCTTTTATTTTATACACAGGTTTGAAATCGCAAGTATAAGTAATATTGTGATCTGAGCAGGAAGGTCCTTGTTTACCAGTGAAACTACATATATCATGATCACTCTGATATATCCTAATACTGTTTGTGTGGGACACACCATTACTCTTGGATGGATGGAGTTTGGGTAGAGTTGAATGTGATTACTACACTCATCGATCACACCATTTGAGACTATAACATGTAGTACACCCTTTACTACACGCAAAGGGTGTAGTAAAGGGTGTACTACACCCTTTACACACACAGTAGTGACCAGTGCCACCACATGTTTTAAAGGAAACCCACACCAATCACAGCATCCACTGTTGAAATACTGATCTTCAAGAAATGTCTGTAACACTTGCTGCCACACCCAGACAGGAATGTAACAAAATTCACAATATAGAAACTTTCTTCATAGAGGCAAAAGCTCTTTAATTTCTAATTAGAGCATTTAAAGAATGAACTTAATTTTTTTTTTAATATTGGGTAATAGGTTTAAAACTTCTGTGCTTTTATATGTTAGGGATCAACAACTGACACTAATATATACTTTTGTAACTAATGATTCTATATAAACAGTGCAGCACTAAAAATACAGCGGTGTATCTATAAAATAGTTATCCTAAATACCATCTAATATTTTAAACAAATATAAATATGTTCAGTGTCAAAATATATTATCAAATTATTTATCACAATTTCAAAAGTGTGCTGTGCAAACTGTGCAAACAGTATCTTGCTAGTAGGCCCCGCTGGTTGTCAAAATACATGAACAATCTGAGTGGATGAATGTGTCTTGAGAGCCAGCGGGGCCAACTAGGCTTGGCTGAGGCTTGGCTTAGTGGGAGATTCCTCCATCCACACAGTTTAGCGTAGATGGAGGAATCTGTTGCACTTTTTCCATCTGACCATAGAAAATCTGCAGATAATCTGTAGGTGTATGGCCAGCTTTACTCTGTGCAGACCACCACGGCATGTGCACAATGACAAAGTTTAAAAGATCATAAAACCCACTATCCTTCTGCCCACACTTCTAACTGACCTCTTCTATTGGCACCAGAAGCTCCGCCTTACGCGTTACGTCTTTATAACTTTGTCAGAGGCTAGGAGTCTGGTGCCTGGATCTGCCTTTTATATTCATTCTATAACTATTATCTTTCTATGACTATCTGACACTATTACTACTCACACCTTACTTAGTTCTAGCATCATTGCTGCACATGGCAACATCCTCTCACACTTTTAATGACATTCTTCACTATTAATCTTTGTTCCTGTCATCTGTACCCTATTACTAACATTAAACTGCATGAACTTAATCATCCCACTTATTAGATGAAAATTCGATAAATCATCCACCCCAGTTATTGAACAAAATGTACATATTCCTTACTGTCTAACGCCTAGTTGCATGAATTAATCTGCCCTCAGGGGCATCCCGAGGCCGGGTGTCACCCGGGGCGGAGACCGGATGACACCCCGCCGTGACATCATCACGCAAGCGCGTGACGTCATCGTGCATGCGCGGCCGCCTAATTAATGCCTGCAGGCGGCCATCTTGGTGATGGATGCCGGCAGAGATAGGAGGGGACATTCACCTGGCAGGATGAGGTATGCCGCTGGGTCCCCTTCTCTCTTCTGACACTGTCAGGCTCTCAGTCCATGACCGAGTGCCCAAATTTTAAGAGCAGGTGACACCCCCCGCACCCCCTTGTGACGCCACTGTCTGCCCTACTTATTAAATAAAGCATACATTTTAATAACCACTCCTGACTCCCAGTTACCTCCTGGTACCAAAGTTTTTTTCTTCTTAAATCTACTTAGACTATTTTTTGCTTAAATCTCTTTTCAGATTATCTCCTCTCCATGGTTTCTGTATTTTCTCTACACCCCAGAACTGCAATCCTTCTGGATTTTTATTATGGTATTTACTTTAATATTATAAACATGTCCCCTTAATCTGGCTGAGATTTCTATTGGTCCTACCTATGTACTGTAATCCACAGGGGCACTGTAACATGTAGACCACCCCAGTGGAATCGCATAAGATAAAATATTTGATTTGATCATTTTTTTTCTGTATTTATTATTTTGAATTATTTTCTTATTTATTTTAACATGCTTACATGCATAACATGCGTAGAACCCACTACTGGGGAAAAAAGGTTACTTTCTTATCCCTTGGCGGATCCACTATGTTATAAACAAGCTTGTTCCTCAAGGTTGGAGCCCTCCTGTAAACTGAAAATAAACGTATGAATGGATTTGACATTATAAATTCAGTTGTATGATATATTACCTGCATTAGAATATTTGCGCATTTTGCACTATTGATATTTTTTGCAGTTTATACACCACACTTTTCATATGTAATTATCATTTGGTAATATATTTTGGCACTAAACATATTTATATTTGTTCTAAAATGTTAGATGATATTTAGGATAACTATTTTATAGATACACCATTGTATTTTTAGTGTTGCACTGTTAGACATAAGAGAAAAATTGAGAAAATATTTATAGGAAAAAGACTTCAATACAGACAAAGCTAACATCAAAAATAGATTAAAAGTGAAAAATACTTAACAACGTTCACCTGGTTTTTGGTTCTGTGCAGAATCTAATTGACTTGCAGAGTCCAATCTGACATATCAGAGTCCCTGGCTCTCATAAATGACTCTTGGCATTCCTTCACACACAGTTTCAATAGTAGACAAGAGCTGCAGTTAGCAAATGCGTGTGTTGATAGTTGTGCTGGAGTATTGTATTATTGCTTTTTATGAAGGTAACTCCATCACAGCAGAAAATATAGATAGAATTTGGATCTGGTTGGATCTTTATGACTGCCATACAGTTTACTGTTCGTCACACCTCAGTGTCATCACACTGGGCAGTCTCGGTGTGGGGGGCACAAACAATAGTGGGAAGTTCCATGCAGTGTGCCCTTGAATGACAACACCAGGGCATGTATCATGCCACAATCATTTTAAATCATTTGCTTTCATCTTCTACCATCACTTACCTATGCAGTTTCGGAGTCCTGCAGAAAATGGGACATAAGCATATGGATTGCGACCGCTTGTATTTTCTGGAAAAAATCTCTCTGGTCTAAATTCTTCTGGGTCAGGAAAATATTCAGGATCCCGATGTAGAGCATAGGGAATAATTAAGGCATTTACACCTTTAGGCACGTGGAAACCTCCTGAAATTGAGAGAGCAAAGATATGAGTATATAAGTAAATTGGTTTAGCACAGGTTTGTCCCTCAGTTCTATTGGGGCATAGCTGTGAACAGATCAGAATGTTTTCTGAATACAAGCCTGAACCAAGTATAACTATCTGACTGCTAAAGTCAAGGAATCAAAGAGATAAAATGTTTTCCATCATAGATATATGTTTATATTTTATTTCATGAAATAATAAATATTATACTGTTATGCAAATGTTGTATATTATGATTATGATATGTGTATAGAACCAAGTGGTTTTTCTTTCAGTCAACAAACCATTAATATGCACCATTATGGAAAAAAATTTGAACAATCATCATATAGGTTTGCAAAGTACTCTCACACTACAAACTTACTTATTGTGCAGTCGTCACAAACAGTGCGAGCAAATAATGGAACAGATGGAAATATACGAAGGGACTCCTTTATTACAGCTTCTAAATAGCGTAGGCTTTTCAGATCCTCCATTGTGACTGCACGGTCAGATTCACCTGCCAGGATGCAGAATACAGCAACATTAAATTGTTGAATTTAGTGAATTAAGAGCATCCTGAGTTGTACCTATAACCTCCTCCACGTTCATTTGAAGATAGTCAGAAACCTCCCCCATCCTTTTTTTCCAATGTATTTTCTTGAGAAGCCTATATTTGCATTATTATTTCAAAAAAGGAACATTTAGGATCGTTAAACTCTGAGCACTTGACTGATGCCCAAATTACTCCTATTGTAATTCAAAATTCGTTGTAAACACATCTGTACATTGGAAGTTATGTTTTTATTATTTTAGAAAAGTCTAGTAATATTATAAATCTTTTTTTTATAGTGCACATTACCTACATAGGCCACAAACCCAGCAGTCAATGTACATAATATATTTCCAGTAAACAGTCTCATAAATGAAACAATCTATTCAAAGCCATGCTATAGAAAAGCTCTTGGTTGACAACAGTATAGGCCAGTGATGGCGAACGTTTTTGAACACAAGTGCCCAAACTGCAACGCAAACAATTTATTTATCTCAAAGTGCCAACGTTGAAAATAAGTTTGGCATTGCGTTGCAGTTTGGAAAATAGGGAAACACACATATTCAAACATTTATACACTCAATAAAACACACATCACACACGAAATGAAACACACACACACATTTAAAAAAAACACATCACGCACGTAATGAAACACACATCACACAGGCATTAAAACACACACCTCACACACACATTAAAACACACACATATCACACATGCATTGAAACACACACATCCCAAATGCATAAAAATACACACACATATCACACACTCATTTAAAAAAACACACATTAAAAAATATAAAAAAAACACACATCACACATGTAATGAAACACATCACACACACACATTAAAACACACACATATCACACGCTAATTAAAAGAAAACACACTTTAAAAAAACACACACATCACACATGCATTAAAACACAGACATAACACACACATTAAAATACGCACATCACACACACATATCACACACTCATTAAAAAACACACACGTAAAAAACAAACATCACACATGTAATGAAACACACACACGCATTAAAACACACATCACACACATATCACACACACATTAAAAACACACATATTAAAAAACACACATATTACACATGTAATGAAACACACACACTACACACGAATACCGAGACTGGAAATCTCTGACTAGTCCCACCCTTACAGACTGGCTTACTGAAATGTAATCCCAATGCAGAATGGAGGAGCTCTACGCATTGCTATATGATCGCCATGCCCAATTTTATGAGGTATGGAGTATCCACAGTGTGACTTTCCAAATGCTAGGTTTAGGCCTTAGCTTCGGGCATTATAATTGATAACATTATATTCAGTTGATTGTGTGGGACCGGGTGATACACCTTTATCTTATCTCTCTTATTCTTATTTTATCTTATCTTATTTTGTCATATCTTTCTTTCTTATCTTATCATCCTCTTTTCTCCTCTCTTTTTTTCCCAACCCCTTTCTCGTTATATTTACTATTCTTTTTCTTGGGGTATTGTCACTTTTTAGCACCCCGAATATCTTCAGACGGTTATGTCACTAATCTTAGCGACCAAGCCGTAGGCGGTTGTGTTGCCTTCTTGATGACTGTTGGTATTTTGCCTTGATGTAGTCTTGTTCTTATTCTGTTTCCCTGTGAAGTTGTATATTGGTGCATTTCCCATTGTTTACTATTTGGAATATTGTATCTATGCCCCTACTCCTTTTTATATGTATGTCGTGAATTCTCAATAAAAATTATAACACTGAAAAACACACTCATCACACACACACACACACACGCACACATTAAAATACACACATCACACACGCATTAAAACATACATATCACAGATGCAGTAACCCTTTCACTGCCAAGCCAGCTGGCCTCACCATTTTTGTAATTTTTTCCATTGTTTTGATTTTCTATTGCTGCATTGCCAACGGTTGTAAAAGACCCCCCAAACCATAGATTTTCTGAATGCACAGGCCCGGTAGAATAAAAAGATGGTGCTACTAATTTTGTAGGTCCTGCGATAATTGCACAAATGTTTATCAAATCAATATTAAATCAATTTTTAAAAAACAATTCAATTGATAAAAGCATGCTAAAATACTTTTCTGACTAAATCTAAAAGATAAAACTGTGTTGAGGTAATTAATAACAAAAATTTGTAAATTTTAAAGTTTGGCTTTTTGCAAAAAGGTAATAAAATGAAGGAACACAAAACTGTAAATGAGCGACTTATGTTAAAAATCCTTTCTGCGCTGTGCTGGTGTATGTGTTGTGATAAAATGATACAGGTGTACATTTACTCACAACACAGCATATCGCGACGCACACCAATGTTTGTGTCATAAAAATTAATAATCAACAGTGTATGCCAACCTTGTGAAGCAATACAGGACACGTTTGACCTCTGTCATTGCCAACAAAGGATGCCTTTTCTGATTGCAGGCTTCCTGATTTTATGCAACAGGCTTGGCACACCAGATGTCCTAACAGATCACTGGACACATGAATAATGCTAAAGTCCAGCATAAGAAAATACTGTCTAAATAGAAGTTGCATGTTTATTCTTACCTAGATCTTGGTGTGCTTTGTGTATTTCTTCCAGATCTGTGCAGCAATCCAGAGTGAAAGTTTTGCTTTGTGCAGGAGCTTCCTTTAATAAAGACCAGTTGCTGCTCCTTTCTGTCTTTGTGCAGGTTGACTGGTATTGTATCCACCCCTTCCTGTAAAACAGACCAGTCACTGCTGCTCACTCTTCTTATGCAGGGTGACTGGTCTTGTATCCGCCCCCTTCTGTAGTTTTCTGCGGCCGCAGCCTGTACTAGGTGGGCCTGCTGGGTCCCTCCTACAGCTTTTCTCTCTGATGATGATCTAGGTTTGCAAAGGCATTTGGTGCTCACAAAGTCGATTTTTCACTTTTGTGGCTATTAAGGAAAATATTTAAATACAAGTTTGTGTGCCCAAAGTTCAGCTTTAATCCTGGTTGATGATTTAGTACATAGAGAAGCAAGTCAGCAGTGGCAACGTTCATTTTACTATCCACATTCTAGCAGCAACTTCTAAGTAGATACATTAAGTGAAACATCAACATACTGTTTGCATTTATCAGTGTCAAAATCCCTTACAAGAGATCTCCCTTGACACATAATAAATGTGCAGGTAACCATATACTGCACTTACTGAATACAGACAATGTACTACCACACAGTACAACATGCTTCTGGGAGCTTGACTTCTACATCTACAAATGTAAGAAATAATCCGATGGTCTGCATTCCCAGCATAGGGTGCATAGATATCTGTACTTCCACATAATACCCAAATACATAAATTCTGACTTTTGAAAGAACAGTTGTCACATTTTTCTGCTGTATTATTTATTCTAAATTCTTTCTAAGCAAGAGCAAGTTCTGGCAAGGGTCTGCAGAAATAAAACATTTCACGGAAACATACCAAATACTTCATCCAATTCTTTATGGACATTTTTCTGCACGTCAGGGTGGGACCCCAGCAAGTATAAAGACCAGTTCATAGCTGCAGCAGTTGTGTCATGACCCTGTTAATTAATAGACCAATTTCTTTATTAATATTCACTGTATTGGGAAGGCATCAATCTCATTTCATTATACAGAGAAAAGTTTGAGCCTGGGTGTATTAAAGAGGACCTGTCAACCAAAGAGAAAAAGAAAGTGATTTTTTTTTCATAAAACAAAAGATTACATTTCACTGAGTCAGCCCCTTATCCCACCTACGCTGTATCACTCTTCATTAACATGTTACCACTGCAATGATGATAACATTTTATTTATCACAGGTATTTATATAGCAACAATTTCACAGTGCTTTACATACTGTGCATACACATCAGTTCCTGCTCTCAAGGAGCTTACAATATACACACATGCATACTAGGGCCAATTAACCTACCAGCATGTCTTTGGAGTGTGAAAAGAAACTGGAGTAGCCAGAGGAAACCCATGCAAGCACAGGGAGAACATGCAAACTCCATGTTTTAGTTTCCTGACCAAGATTCGAATCAGAGACCCCTAGTTCTGCAAGCAGTGCCGGATTTCCCACAAGGCCAACCAAGGCCCAGCCACAGGGCAGCAGGGAGTAGAGGGGAAGCAGGGGTGTGGAATTCCTATCTCCCGATGCCCGGGACATGCAGTTAGGGGCACCGGGCAGGTAGCTGTTTTCTACATTGAGCCCTACTTTGGGCAAGCAGAGCTAAATGTACAGCGGGGAAGCCTCGGCCCTGGCTGCAAGGCTAACCACTAAGCCACTGGGAAGCTGCCCATCGAGGTCAGAGGATGGTGGACAGGGTGGGATAGTAATTAGAACATCTTTAGGGCATGTTCTTACAAGTATCTTCTGTATAGAAAGGGAGATATACCCAGGACCAGAGGGCCAGTGAAAACCTAGCAGCTACTCTCCCTTGCTTTCTTCCTTTGTCATTCCAAAAAGCTTCATAGGAATTAAAGGAAGCAATACCTTACTTTAATACAACCTAACCTCTTAACAAAGTCATGATAACCTAAATATTTGGTGGTTAACGACTTAAAGACCACGTACACTTTTAAAACAGCACTATAACAGCTGTTCTCCATAGTGGGCGTGCAGTTGGATCAAGTTCCACTGATCTAGTCACCTAACAAAGTGACAAAGTGAAAAAAAAAACCTAAACAAATAAACTAAGTATATTCAACAATTTAAGAACTTAAATAATACTTGAGTGTCCTGCGCTCCATCTATGCTTGTAGTAAAAGCTCAAGCAAGCTTGTGCAATGGGATAAATATCAGGAACTTTATTAAATGAATGTTTTGGGGGGGAAATATGTAATATCTTTCTTTTCATTTTTTTTCCTCCTAAAACCTACAAAATATACAGTATGCATTTAAATCACTCCCTCTTTCCCCACTCTTCCTGCTCTTCCTCCCATCCTTTCTCCCTCCCATCCATTCTCCCTCCCACTCTCTCCCCCTCCCTCTCTCTCCTTCTTCTCGCTCCCTTCCTCTCTCCTTCCCACCCCTCTCTCTCTTCTCCCTTCCTGTCTCCCTCCATTCCTCTCCCTCCCCTCTCTCTCCTCTGTCCCTCCCCTCCTCTCTCTCTTCCCCTGTCCATCTATCTTTCCTTCTCCACTCTCCCTTCCTCTCTCTCTCTCTCCCTTTCTCTCCCTTCTTCTTTCTTTCTCTCTTTCTCCTCTCTCACCTACTACTCCCCTCCTTTTTTTTCTTCCCCCTCACTCTCTTCCCCCTCTCTTTCTCTCTTTCCTCTCCATCTTTCTCTCTACCTTCTCCCTCCCTCTGTGATCCTTCCTCTAAAGTGTTCATTGTCTCAACAGCTGCTGTTATAGAAGTTGTTCTTAGCCTTCTTAGGTAGACCAAGACAAAGTGATAGCTTTTTGTGTGCTGAACAGCATATACAGTATAATGGAAGATTTTCATTTTTTAATAATGATTCCTTTTTTGTGCTGAGGTTTATGTTTTTCTGTGCAACTGTCATTTGTAGCACAGAAATTATGAGTATTTTGTGATTTCAATAATTGTGACAGTGTGCAGTGTATACAGCAGATAGGCACAGGTTTTGTTAATAATCTCCCTTTAAAGTGTAATTTCACTTTTACAGGCAAATTGGGATAACACCTATTTTATATTTGTTTCATGTTCCCATTCACATAGCATAAGATAAAAAAAAAATGCTTCTTGCAGTTTATATTGATTTAGGGTTTTAAGGGTAAAATGTCTTCTTCCTTCTATTTCTTTTAAATGTTAGGAGGGGCTGTGAGGGGTGAGGGGTCTGAGGTGGCTTATCCATTGTATGTTAATGAAGCTTATCAGATGAAACACAATCGTCAAATCTCACTCCCAAATCTGTCTGAAGGACAGATCACTGTGAAACAGCTAAGAAGAACCTGGAATCAGCCATCTAGCCCGCTTTAACACATTTTAAGTTATTTTTTAGTATGCTGTGTGAATAGGAACACATAACGAATATATAGAGGGGTTTTCAAAAATTTGACTGCAAAAGTGGAAATACATTTTAAGCAACTCATCCTGGTCATGTTGGCTGTTGCAGCATGTGTAGCTTGCCGCCCAACTTGTTCCTGTTGTACTCCAAGGTGCCTATATCTTTCATAAGTCTAGTCATGCTTATGTTTCATCAGGGCTGTAGCTACCATGGGGCGAGTGAGGCAGTCGCCTCAGACGCAGCCAGGGCAGGCCTGGCTGCGCCCCCTCGCACCTGATGCCATGGACGAGCACAGGGTGCCATTGGCAACAGGGACGCCAGCCGGCCAACACAGCCGCGGCTCGCAGGGAAAAGAGGAGTGTCACAGGCTCCAGAATTCTCCTTGGATCCCTGCTGCTCTCTCCCCACCTGTATGGGCAGAGGACTCTGTGTCCTCAATCTCTTTTTTTATTTCAAAAGGGAAATGTCAGGGGTCTATTTAGAGCCCTGATTTTTCCCCGTAGCCCCCCAACAGTGAAACAAATAAATAAAAATTTAAAAAACACCACACACACACATTACTAGACATGTGCAAAGACTAAAAATTAGTTGCGGGCGAAATGAACAGAAACTAAAAATGTTTTCTTTAGTTTCGTCAAATTTGTATGCTATTTTGGATGTGGCCTGCAGTGCATTCTGTGCATGTGCTCCGCCATCTTGGAGGTGGGGCGCATGACGTCACATACCGCACACGTCTGTTGGGAGGCACAATTTTCTGTTTGCGCCTCGGGTGCAAAAGGAGCTAGCTACGGCTCTGTGTTTCATCATAGTCTGTTGATTTTTTTAACTATAAAGGCAATAAGATTTACATATGTTCATTGTTTCAGCTTCAATAGGAGTTAATAACAGAACAAATATTTTCCTTTTGGCCCTTGTTCTGGGTAAGAATTGTCCAGGCCTGCCTTAAGGTGCCCAAGAGCATCACATTTTGCTGCACCAGGAAAAGTAAGTGTGGGGGACCCCTGCCAGGAGAGACAGCAGGTGTAAATGTGGGCTCTGTGTGGGGTTGTTACCCCAAATGATCGGGCTTTAGTGCATTGTGATCCAGCCTTTTGTTCTGGGTTTTCTTGGTCTAACAATACCTCCAAAGCCCACAATGGCTGTCTTTTTCCTGTCTCCCTCCCATTTATACACGTCAAGCTCCGTGTACTGATATGAGAATGTAGACTTTAAACTTCCCCTGTATCCGTGTCAGGCTTCCCTCTGACCAGGTTTATTCTACTGTCTCTGGGTTTATAGCATTTTATTTGAGGCAGACCCCGGGAAAACCTTGCTCTATTTCCTTTTCTTGAGCAAAGGGTCCCAACTTATGATCTTGCACACAGGCCAACTGCATTCATGGTCATGGCCTTGGGGCAGCAGGTAGTAAAGGGGTGGCACAGCCGAAACTGGACGCAGGGGTGTGGAATTCCTATCACTCGATGTTCGGGACATGCGGTTCCGGGGGCAGGGTGGGTTATTTTTTTTCTACATTTAGACCTGCTAAAAAATTATAAAAAAATTAAAAATTAAAAGATAAATACAAATTTAATAAAAAAGTAAAAAATAAATAAATAAACATTAAAAGAATAAAAAAAGTTAAAAATAAATAAAAAATGAAAAGCA